TCTCTCTCTCTCTCTCTCTCTCTCTCTCTCTGCCTTTCCCCTCCTCTCAAAAATAAACACTAAATAAATAAGTAAATAAACAAATAAATAAATAAAGTGGCTCCTGAGAGGTGTCCTACATGCCGTCCAATCACCAGAGAGTCCGAGACTTGGGCTTGGTTGTGGCGAGCCAGGGCCAGGCCATGGAGAATCTTCTGGGTCCTCGATTTGGATGCTTTTGCCAACACTGCCCCATGTTTCTTTCTTTTGTTTTGTTTTGTTTTGTTTTTTTTGAAGTCCTGACTCATAGGGACATTGTGATCAGTGAAAAACCCCGCATTTCGTTTCAAATGAATTGCTATCATGTTCAGTCTGTGGATAACTGACTTTCTTTATGAACTTAAACGGAGCACTTGTTTATCTCTTCAATTTCGTCCTGTTGATGGAAGCCCCGTTGCTTCAGCAGGTCAAGATCTTTTTGTACCTTGCTTCTGTCATCCAGAAGATGAGGTCATTCTTCCTAGCTCTGAGTCATTTCCAGTGTCCCCCAGGGCCATGGATGTGAAACGGTTTTGAAATTACAGGGAGATGACAAATTCAGAGGGAGGAGAAAGCTCCTGACCCTTCGTTCTGTCCCTGTCACTTTGCTTAGATTGGAATTGTCCCTCCCTCGCTGGGGGGTGCATGTCTACCTTAGTTTATGTTCTCCCAAAATCAGATCTTGAGGTGAGGACTTGGTAGTTCATTTGGGGAGTGGTTCCACAAGGCAGGAGTGAGGGTGTGAGTGAGCCACAGAAAGAAGAGCCAATAAAGTCAAATACATGATTCTGAGCTAATTACCACAGCGCACGGCCTATAACACGTAAAGTAACGTGACGTAACATAACAACGTAACAAGCCGCTACCCCTGCTTTGAGCTGAGACAGACAGTCCTCCCCACCTTCTCCTCACCCCGGGGCTGAGATCCAAATGTTGCTGAAGAGAGTGTGGCTGTGACTCACTAGATGACAGAGAAGTCACTGTCATGCCGTGCTGGTAGAACTTGCTAGAAATCTGGCCCCTAGAAATTCCTGGAAATCGACTCTCTAGGTTCATAGGGAGGTATCTCAAAACCATGTGAGGGAGTGCCAGGATTGTTGGATGCTGCCGGCTGGTAGGCAGAGCAGTAGCTGGGCACCAGGGAAGCTGGGTGCGCCACAGAAACCCGAGAAGCCTCTGTAAGAGCCTGATTTTCCAGGAGCACACCAGAGATACTGGTTTTCCTCTTGTAATCTCTGTCCAGCACCCCCTACAGGCAAAGCATAACATGGCAGGGGGAGGGAAGCAAGGAAAACTACATAAAGGGCCCAGGTTAATTTTTACGGAACAGACAAAAAGGGTGAATGCGGAGCTGAGAGACAATTAACTGATAATAGGTTCAACACGAATTCCCCCTTTCAGGGAATTCTGCCTAAGCCCAGAGTTTCCCATTCTTCCCCTCCACCACCCCCCATTGAAGGAGGCTGCCGGTGCCTCAACCAGAGTTTGGGTTTGGGCTTGTGACTCTTAAGACATTTCTGGGCATTTCTGTTAAACAAGGGATATCCTTCAATGGAGTCCTGTATAAAGTCATAGCCTGGCCTGAGCTGTGCTGTGAAGAATTAGAGAAACATCACTGGTGGCATCCTTTGGGGGTCCTGTGCTCAGCAGGATGAGGGGGAGGTTAAGGAGCTCACCAGGGCAAGAGGAGAGGGCCAGAGGGAAGGGCCGAAGGGGCCAGTCCAGGAGCACCCAGGAGTCTAGCCCTGGGGAAACCATTTGAGTAATGGAGTTTGGGGACTTTTCTGGAAGGAGGAGGAAGACTTACATGCTAATCATGTGAGTATGGAAAGGAAGCAGAAGACAATGGCATGGGCCAAGGCTGGAGAGACACAAGAAATACAGTTAGAATGTCACTTGGATCTAAAGTCTCAGTAAAACTATTATAGAGGGAAAAGTTCAAAATTATTTCTTCTCTTCCATATCTCCACGATTTTACTTGTTAATACTGGGAAAATCCAGCCTCAGAGCAATATCTTCGGGGTTCCCCATGCCAGCCCACACTAAAGAACTGAAAAAAGAAAGTTTTCCTTCAAACCATCTTTCTTAGCCAGCAATGAATTCCTACGTGCAATACAAATATACATTTGCATGATATAACTTACGGTAGAGACTTCTTGAGGATGGAAAATTCATTATTTTTCTAGGTTTAACCTGATCCTGGTTCTGCCGCTAGGAAGGGTGTGGAAAACTCCTCTGAGCCTCAGATTCTTTACCTATAAAATGAGCAGAGGGAGTAGTTAAGGTCCCTTCCAAATCTAACAATGTGTTTCACTCTATCTCCAGAATAACCTGCAAAAAACTTAAATTTATAAATTAAATTAGAAAGCAACCAATTTTCCTTACTGGTAGTTTTCATTTCTCAAAGGATTCACAACCGAATTCCTTTAAAACAGCAAATTATCTTAGTGTCTACAAGGAGTTAGTTTATCCCCAACATTTTAGAAACATGGATGTTATATATAACGTCCTTATATATAAGGCAGTTATATATAACTGCCTTAGCCTGTTTGGGCTGCTGTAACAACATACTACAGACTGAATAGCTTAGAAACAGCAGGAACTTATTTCACCCGGTCCTGGAGGCTAGAAGTCCAAGATCACGGTGCCGGCATGATGGGGTTCTCCCGAGACCCCCTCTTTGGGGATGCAGTCTGCAACTTCCGTCTGTGTCCTCACCGGGTGGAAGTGGCTAGAAAGCTCTGTCAGGCCTTTTTTATAAGGGCACTAATCCCACTCACAAGGGCTCCACCCTCAAGACTTAAGCACTTCCCAAAATCATACCCAACTCCTAAAACCATCACGCTGAGCATCGAGTTCCAACATTCGACCATGGGGGCCGTGGGCACAAATTTCCAGCCTATATAACACAGCCATATTGGAAACAGGGTGACTGCTTAAAACATTCGGGAATTCGGGATTTTTGCAGCAGTTAGTAAATTACAGCCATGCCCTGACACTTACCTGGAGCCAGTCCGTCCTAGACCAAGAAAGCGTCCTTACCTGGTGAGATTCTAGACGGTTACTTTAGTCTCGGGCCCAGGGTAAAGCCAGCAAACAAAACGACAAGATGTGGTCCTTGCCTGATCTCACGCCACGACGGTTTCCTTTCACTCAAGGTGGTTGAAAGTTCTTCAAAAGCAATTATTTCTGGCACAGATAGAAGTGTAACTTCTCATACATTCACACCTCAGTGTGACCCGTTAATTAGTCGCTTCCCTGAGCGGGCTTGGAGACAGAGGCATAGGAGGCGCCGGCTGGAGCCCAAGGGTGAAGACGCCATGTGTGTGTTGCGCGTGTGCATCCGCGCACGTGTGCGGGGCGCAGGGGCAGGAGTGAGGTGGGATCCGGGAGAGCGCACGGTCCCTCCCACGTTCGACTAAGTCACGGCCACATCCCCAGTGGCTGACACTTGGGGGCGCTCAGTAAATCGAGCAGGACAGATTCTGGCACTAACTTCAGACCAGTTCTCCGAGTTAGGAGACGGAGCTCGTCCACGACGACAGAGCGGAGTTCGGGTCCTACCGCCCCCCGCGCGAACCGAGACGCCCCAGCGAGTAGAAGCCCATCGGCGACCCCAGGGCTGGTCCCAGGAGCCCCGCCCGGGAGAGGGTAGCTCCAGCTGCTGCGGGCGCCCGGCACCCAATCCCCGGGCCACCAGCACGGACTGGGGTCGGGGGCCTGGCTGCGGAAGAGCCCTCTGGCTGTGGGAACCGGGTCCCCGAACCGGTGCGGAGACCCGAAGGGAGGTGCAGACGGGGGACAGCAGCGGCAGGAGGGGAGAAACCCTGGAGAGCGCCCGACCCTCGAGCGCCGCGAAGGCCGCGGGGCGCGCTCTTCAGGGTGTGCGGCTGCGGTTCCGTGCGCTCCCCGTTTGCCGAGCGCGCTCCCGGGTCCCTTGGAGCGCGCCGGGGGTGCAGAAGGTGCGCTCCCGGGGACTGTGAGCGCGGCGTCGGGATCGCAGAGCTGCTTGCAAACTTTATCCGGCAAGTTCTAGGGGTGCGCGGCCAACTTTGCACGGGCGCCTTTCCCCCGGGCGGTGAACGCGGACAGCGTGCGGACCCGGCCCCCAGTTTTGCAGAGGGCGCCCTCCAGGGGCCGTGCGCGCCGGCCGCGCGAGCAGCAGGCGTCGCCCGCGGTCCGGCCTGCCCGGGGCTGCCCCGCGCGACTCCGCCCCCTGCCACGCCGGGGCTTTTACTTTCGTTTTCGTCTGGGCGGCCTCAGACCCTCAGCGCCGAGGGACCGCGACGGACGCCAGCGCTGGCCGCCCCGCCGCCCGCCGCGCCGGGGCCTGGTAACTTCCGCCCCCGCCCCCGCTTGCGCCCCTCCCGTCAGCGTGCGCTCCTTCCCTCCCTCCACAACCGCCCTCCCACCTGGCCGTGCTCCTCCTCTCATTCCCCCAGCCGGCCCGCAACGAAACTTTGGGAAAAGAAAGGGCCCTCGCGCCCCCCGCCCCCCTCCGGCATCGCTGGCTCGGCTCAGCGCGCCCTCCCTTCCCCGCTAACCAGCTGGGACTGCCGGGCAGTTCGGGCTGTTCGGGATTTGGAAAAAGGGGGCGTGGATTGAGACGCGAAGGAGGGGATCGAGCTCTCGCAAGGCTGGCAGTGAGCGCTCGGGTGTCTGACGGCCCTGGGCGCCAGTCCCCGCGTCCCTGTTTGTCGGCTGTGGGCCTCGGTCCTCCCTGCGCCTGTCTGTTAAATGGGATCGGTGGTGACCGCGGGCTGACGGTTGCTGCCAGGCTGTAAGGAGGTGACAGGTGCACAGCCCCTCCGTCGGAGCTCAGTGCGTTGGAGCTACCGTCGTCCTGGCTGGGGCCCCTGGTACTGAGCTCTTGAAGGTCTCTTGAGGAAGTGAAAAAAAGGCAGGCTGCAGGTCACCTTGCTACCGTTCACCGTTGTACTCAAGTTTAGCGTTTATGGGGCAGTAAAATCGCTTGTGGGCTATTCTGTGTGGGTCATTTCTAGGCCATTTCGCCTGAACTCTTGCTCTGGCAGGCTACGTGGCCCTGTCCTTTGTTTACCTACAGGTTATTTCCTCCTTCGGGGGCTACGGCCTGAGCCCTTACAAAGGGGATGAACACAAGAAAATAACAGTAGGCCTGCCCTCTCCAGGCACAGCAGGGGTGAGATAGGCCTGGATTTTCTTGGGTAGGCTCTGGAAATCCAAGCCTTGGCCTGACTGAAATGATGTGGCCAGGATTAGGCACCTCACTTGGTCAGCACCCTTATTCTGGGTGAACTTGAGTTCACCCAGAAATCAAGCCTAGCCTCATAGGAGTAAGACAGTCGTTGAATGTTTCCTGACCCTCTGCGCAGCGTTCAGCATCAACCCAGCAAGATGCTGTAGGTTTCAGGCTGAAGACCCTTCTGGCCTGATGTTTGGAGGGAAGACTCTGGGAGGCCTCCCACGGCTGATCCATAGACATAAGCCTGAATTTTATGTCTCTGTAGTCAAGTCCAAAGTCCCCTCCACGTGGCTGGGAAGGACAGGCAGTTTAAGCCGCACCCCTGCTTTGACGGAATAGGTCAAGGGTTTACTGAGTGTGCCGTTCCCCTCTGCCTGCAGCACCCCCCGGCCTTGTACCCTCTGGGCTTCCCCTTCTCAGACCTCAGGTCAGATATCTCCTCCCCTGAGAACCTTCCCGAATTCCTCTGAGGCCCAGTCGGGTCCCCCGGGATGGCCACAGATTGTTGGTCCGCAAGGCACTCACTACAATCGCAGCTTGACATTTGTGCCCTCCTTTTATCAAAGTTTGTCCCCCATCAAGGCAGCACCAGGTCAGTTTGCTCACAGCAGTGTCCCCAGCTCCTAGCACACGGCCTGGTGCGTTAGGCTCCCAGTAAGTATTCGAGGAGGAGCTGCCCAGCTCTTCCCAGCACCCCCAACACCATCAGAGCAAAAGTCTGGCTTTCTTAGGAGCTGTTTTGCTTAGGTTTGTCCTTTTTTTAAAAAAAAAAATTGGTCACGTTGTTTTATCATGATACATCCTAGATTCAGCCTTAAAGACTAGCATTAGCAAAAGGCTCAAGGCTTAATTACCACATGTTGAAGGTAGTGTCTTCTTCTGATGGCTCTTGTATAACTTTAACTTGCTAACTTTAAAAAGTATTTCTGTGCTTTGCTAACAACAATCCACACTGAAAAGTAACTAAGTCTATGTAAAGGAGAGGAGAGAAAATTATCGAGCGTTTCTGCGTGCCTGGATTCCTGCTTATCTCCTTTGGGAATGGGGTCATCTCTGTTTTCAAGAAACATTTTGCACCCTAATCTGAACGCTCTAACCGCCCCCCCGCTGAACACACAATGCCCGTTGCTGGTGATGGTGGAGGGTTGATGAGGTGTTGAGACTTCCCACAGTCATGGTAGAGAGCTCGTGTGGGACCCTCCCTCCGTCTCCATTCTCTCCTTACTGCCCAGCTCACCCCTCAGGTAAGCTGCAAGGGGACGTGATAATGCTACTCAGAACTCCTCACAGCCACTGGGTCAACACTCTGCCATCTTGGATGCCTCCCTCCCCTCAAGCTGGGTTCCTTCTCCCCACCTCCAGAAGTCGTTACTTGTGCTCTGGGGCACAGTGTGTTGTGTCCAGTGGATGCCTTCTTGTTTTCTGACTGAGAGAAAACATCCCTGGGCGAGCCTAACAGAAATGCAGACCTGCATCTGCGCACCCACTCTGTGCAATTGCTCAGAGATTGAGACCAGCAGACATTAGACTCTGGAGAGGGTTTCCTTTGTTACTGAAAGCCGAGCCCTTCACGGGGAAGGAAACAGGACTGGATGTAGGAAAAACGGCTTTAGTACAGGCTCTACTAAAACTCTCTTCTAACCGGCCAAATCACTTTTAGCAGATTCTCTTCCCTTGGGACATTTGTTTCTTCCAGCTTTCCGTTCAGTTAATACTTCTTTCGTAGGCACCTTTTGGGTGTTGGGCGCTTCTGCCGTGATGAACTTAGAATTGTTGTGTTTGAGCTACAAATAAGCAGAGTGAAAATGAAAAAAAAAAGACAAAGAGAACAGGGGTGGGGGGAGCTGATGAGATAGGTGTAATCAAGGAGGACCTCCCTTTGGAGGTGCCATTTAAGCTGAATTCTGAAGATTGATTATTAGCCCGCTGGACAAAAGTGTCATGTCCAGCAGATGTATGAGTGGTGACTTCCAGAAAGAGAGAACTATGAGCCCCAACAGAACCTGAAATGAGCATAATATGTTTAAGGATGCTGGGAGGCTGCATGGTATGATGGTAACGGGGGGTGTGCTCTGGGTGGGGTGCATGCTGCTGGCTTCAGATCCAAGTCCTGCTCTTTACTCGTTATATAACCTGGGACAAGCTATCTACCTTTTTCTAACCTCACCTTCCTCATCTGTCAAAAAGCAGTGATCATAGGAATGGTCCGACAGCATTGTTGAGAGTATTAAATAAGATAACGCTTACAAAGCAATTAGCACAAGCAAATAATAAGTCAGTTTCTATTCTTATTGTTGGTTTCACGTCTTAAAAGTAGAGGGAGTAGCAGGTTGGTAAGAGATCCCACTTTTTTAAAATAAAGAGCCAGGTAGTAAATATTTTAGGCTTTTCAGGCCATATGGTCTCTGTCACAATTGCTCAACAGGCATGGGTATGCCTGTATTAACAATAAAACTTTATTTACAAAAACAAGCGGTGGGCCGGAGTTTGCCAACTCCAATACTAGATCAATAAAGGGTCTTAAAACCCAAGGAGGTGGGGGCGCCTGGGTGGCGCAGTCGGTTAAGCGTCCGACTTCAGCCAGGTCACGATCTCGCGGTCCGTGAGTTCGAGCCCCGCGTCGGGCTCTGGGCTGATGGCTCAGAGCCTGGAGCCTGTTTCCGATTCTGTGTCTCCCTCTCTCTCTGCCTCTCCCCCGTTCATGCTCTGTCTCTCTCTGTCCCAAAAATA